GAAGTTCTACTATGGGCAAAATGCTACCAAACAGCAATGCCTACTACAGAGAAATCTCTTGTGAAAGGAAGAGTCAATTGATGTGGCAAACTTCATTACTGTCTTATTTTAAGAAATTGCCACAGCCACCCCAACCTTCAGCAACCACTACCCTGCTCAGTCAGCAGCCATCAGCATTGAGGCAAGACCCTCCATCAGCAAAAAGATTATGATTTGCTGAAGGCTCAGATGATGGTTAGCATTTTTAGCAATAAAGTACTTTAAAATTAAGGTATATACATTTTTTTTAGACATAATGCTATTGCACACTTAATGGACTACAGTATAGTGTAAACATGACTTTTACATGCACTGGGAAACTAAAAAATTCATGTGACTTATTTTATTGCAGTATTTGCTTTATTGTGATAGACTGGAACCAAACTCACAATATCTCTGAGATATGCCTACACTAGGAACAGCAACCCTTCGGGCAAGGACCCCTGAAAATCCTGCCCATTTTACCCACAATGACTTAAACTTCTGTGACTCACACTGGAGTGGAGATAGCTGGATCGAATGACTACTTACCCATACTGTCATGTACATTTTCATCTTTATACTTACATACGGCAGAGGTGATCAGGACTCACTTCGGACTCCTATATCTAGCTGGTTTCAGAAAGACAAGGCCAATGCTTCCTCCTATCCAGCCGTCTAACCAGGGTAGTAGAGCCTAGCTGATGTGGGCATCTTACTTACAGTCCTGCTGCTGCTACTACCTCCCTTCCCTCCATTCCTCTCTCCATTTTTTACATCTGGCATAGGGAATGAGACTCTATATTAATGAAACCTGTAGTGAGTGAGCAAATGCTTTCTACCAAGCCTTAGAGGGTTGTGTAGAGAACTTTGAAATTCTTTTGTCTAAGTCATTTGTCCAAGGTCACATAGCTAGTATGTGTCAGAGGTGGGATTTGAATATAAGTCATACTGGCTTTGAAGCTACCTTTCTATGCCCTACACTATTTTGGTTCTTGCTCAGAAAGCAGTAATCAAATCAATATTACCACTGTTACTGGAAAGGCTTAGGCAACCAACCTACTTCCCTATAGTTCTACTCACAATCACATTGACTGACTGGAGCAAGACCCATCTTCCTAGATGTTGTATTTCCATTACTTCACTCACACTAAGGGCCAGTCAAACTAACTCACTTGTTGTCCCTCCTGCATGCCACCTCTCTGCTTTTGCACAGGCTTTCCCTTGTGACTAGAATGTATTCCCTCTTTACCTCTACCTTTTAGGATACCTAGCTTCCCTCAAAGCTTAGCTCAAGCACCACCTTCTGTTGTTCTCATTGTCGTTCATTTGTTTCAGTCGTGTCAAACTCTTTTTGACCCCAATTGGGGTTTTCTTGGCAAAGATATTGGAGTGGTTTACCTTTTCCTTCTCCAGCTCACTTGACAGATGAGGAAACTGAGGCAAGCAAGATTAAGTGACTTGCCCAGGGTCACATAGCTAGTAAGTGTCTGAGGCTGGATTTGAATTCAGGAATTGCTGACCCCAGCCCCTGCGCTCTATCCACTGTGCCACCTAGCACCACCTTCAACATGAAGCCTTTTTTGACTCTATATCTATGCTAGTGCTCCATCCCCTTGAAATTTCCTTATATTCACTTTGTTTATGTAACCCAGGTTTTAAGCTTTCAGTCTTTTGTGTGTTTCTGTTTAGAAATGTTTCTGGGATCAGTGGGGAGACAACCATCTATGATTAATGTGAGGAGTTAAAGATGGCTCAAGACATTTGGAAAGATATTCTTTATTTCATCTTCAAGAGAGATACATGTGGTTCTAGACCTTTTTTTAGGGAAAGACCAGTGGAAATAGGGAGAAGATTTGCAAATCAGGAGAATGTAGACAAAGAAGCTGGCACCTCACTATGTCCCTGATTTTCAACTTGCCTCCCTAGAGACTTTGGGGAATTTCCCCTTAGATGAGATGAGACTCTCTTGCTTGGCAGAGTAAGGGCCTTCCTCATGTTCAGTTTTCTCATCGGCAGATGACATACATCTAAGGTTCCTGCCAGGTCTAGATCTATGATTCTATGAACATTTTTGGGTGACATGCTCAGTTTCTAAAGATAGGAAATTTCATATGCTTCAAAGAATAGTCACCGCTATGATTTTCCTAACTTCCTCAACCATAATCTGCTGTAATACCACATCTATTATATTTCTCCTATTTTAAATGAAGAAGGCTAGTCAAAGAGAAAGTTATTCCAGTTTCTTCCCTACCCATCCTAATTATGTCTAAAAAACTACTCCCTCAAATTTCTGTTTAATCTAATGTCACATACTATTTGTGAAGGACATACACAGTAGGTAAGATGAAAGGACATTTTGTATGATCATACATTGGATTTCTGTAAGCTTTTCTGCGCTCGAATTACTGAAAAAAGCTAATTCTTCCTCACTTAGGACACCAAATGACCAGCTTATAATATCAATAAACCAATCTTATAAATAATCCCCCCAAATTTATTTTAGCCAAGAGCTTCAATCTATGAATAGCAGACTCATAATATTAAAGATAGAAATAACTTTTCACCAGAAGTCAGCAAACTTTGCTCTGTAGGCCAAATCTGGCTTGACACCTATTTTAAATGCACTCTGCAATGTAGTCATACTAGTCCTTTTGTCCAATCTCTTCATTTTACAGATGAAGAAACTGATGTCCAGAGAGGTTTTAGCTGGTTTATTATTCAAAGTCACTCACCTAATTATGACATATCTGACACTGTCTCATGCCAAGGTAACTCATAAGTAATAACAATAACAACAGCTAGCATTTATATAGTGCTTTAAGGTTTACAAATATTTTACATATATTATCTCATTTGATCTTTATAACAACCAAGTAGAAAAATAATCTTGCCTTTCTAGTTCCTCTCTCTCTCTCTGTCTCTCTCTCTCTTTCTCTCTCTGTCTCGCTTTGTCTTTCTCTGTGTCTGTCTGTCTGTCTGTCTGTCTCTCTTTATTTCTCCTTCCCTCCCTCCTAATAACTCTCCAAGAGTCAGGAGAAAAGAGGCAGAATGAAAAGAATGTAATTCAAGGGCTATTTAACCTTTGAATTGCAAAAAGCAAAAAGTCAAATTATAAAACTGACTCTACTCTGTTGAATTTTTCTTTATAACATACCTGAAGTATTATGTGAAGCCAGATGTTATTTTTTTCTCATTTTATAGATAAATAAATTGACCCTTGTCAATTTTTGAAGTGATTTTCTCACAATCACACAGGACACCAGTGGTCTGAATGCCAAATCTAATTGCTCTCAAATATATTGTTCCCATGGAATTTGCTTGATAATTCTATAACCCAAGGTCTTGCTTAAGTTTTTGGAAAAACTTTGGGAAAATCCTAAATGTAGCCATGGCAATTTCCTTTTTTTCTATACATTTTAAAAATTAAATTTTTTGTTGCATTTTAATTTCTGAACTGTCTCCCTCCCTCTTCACCCTGCACGGAAGAAGACTATATACATATATATACACATATATATATGTGTGTGCGTATGTGTGTGTGTGTGTGTGTGTGTATATATATATGTATGTATAGATAGATCGATATATATGTATAAAACCATACTATGCATACTTCTGTTTATTGGTTCTTTCTCCAGAGATGGATAGCATCTTTCTTCACAGGTCCTTTGTAGTTGAGTTATACACTCAGAATAGCTTAGTCATTCATAGTTATTCTTCAAACAATATTGCTGCTACTGTACACAATGTTCTCTTGGTTCTGCTCACATAGACCATGGCCATTTCCAATGTCTTCAGTACTACATTTCTAGAATTTTGGGGTTGTGTTGTCTGTGTGGATGATTGTGGATGACTTAGCAAATAGCTGCTACTCGTCTCCACCACCAGCAAGGATGAGGTCACCCTGTGTTTTGGTCTTCTGGTTGAAATTTGGGGTCTTTGGATTGAGGCCGGCAGAAAATGCAATGGTGATGGTGGGTCCCAAATCACTTTTTTACTTATCATTTTTCAAGCTATTTGCTCTCAGTGATGAGGACAGGTTTGCAGTACCAATCTCTTTTCTCTTCATGTGTCAAAAGGGATTTTGAGTGTTAATTAAGTTTCCAACTTTCTAAGTAAAGGATATCTTAGAAACAATTGAAAATACCATGTTCATCTCATTAAAAAAAAACTGAGTGTGGAGAAGGATGTATTACTTACTTTAGGTTAATATGCATCTCAGTCTGTGTGCCCGATTCACTAATTAGAGATGTCTGTCAAATGCTACACAGTCAAAGCATGCCTATCAAGAGGAGTGTATTTCCAAGAAACCAGCTTAGAAGCCTCACTAAAGGAAAATTCAGCCTAGTGAGGTCCATGCGAGACCTGCCCAGGAATGTGAAAGAAGATCAGTAAGGTTAGTATGTAAGAGCAGTGCCATGCATTCAGTATATCATAGTAGAAATGAGACTCACAAGTGGAACCATGTGGTTTCTTATGCTGAACTACAGATGTCAGTTTTAATAGCAGTGTCTACTGTAGCTACAGTTGATAAACTCAGTTGCTCCATGCTGCCAATTGCTAGTTTACGTGGCAAGCTCCCACAATTGATTTCATGCTGAAATGACAGTGTGGAAATAGAGCAGTTGGGAGGTGGGCTGCAGTTTCAATATCAGCCCGTGACTGGCAACAAAAGCTTAAATTCCAAATCACTGAAAAAAATGGGTCAGGAATTTTTAAGGATGTCTTATGATAACGTATACATAGTAATCATACACTCGATCTGTTTTATTGGCACCCATTGAAAAATAAAACCATGCATATAAAACAAATACAGTGGTGTGGCTTTTGGTGCCATAATGAAGATGGTAATTCACATTTTTCTAGTGTTTTAAAGTTGGCGAAGTGCTTTCCTATGAAAGTAAACATTGGTTAGTGTATGTGTTTGTGTTGTAGATAGCACAAATAAATGGGTGTCTCCTACCGGGACTGATACCTACCTTTCTTCTTCCCAGACAGTGCTGTAGTTGAGTCTTTGATAGGACACTATACTGGCAGTTATGAGGCTGCCATGTTATTTCTCTCCAATCACAGGTTCTATTGTCTGAACAGCTAAGGCATGGTACAATCCACTGTCCTGAGGGGATAAAAGTTAAACTTCTTTGAAATTTCTTTTCTTCTAAGGGCATTTTTGTTTTACTTTAAAATTTATTTCCAACTCATTTATTTATCAATTTATTCAACAAACTTTAATGCATACAATATGCAACGTCCTATCCACTGTATATGTGCAAATATATTCCAGTAACACCCTGCAAGAATGGCCTTATTTATGCAGATGCTTTAGATAAATTGTATCCATCTACAATGTTTGAGCCTAAATAAGATGCTTCATTAGCAAATTTTGAAATTTTTTATGCTGTTCTTTTCAATTTTCACCATCAGAAGCAGAGTAAATAAAATGAAAATATTTACTGAATGGCTATTTATCCTTTTTTTTTAATGGAGGACACCCCCTCTGCCCTGGTCTGACCCTGATTTTTCATCTGTTTGGGGAATGCCTAGTATGGAGACTTCCTCTACCTTTGCAGATCTGAAAATCCATCTATTACAGAGTTTCCTTGGGTGGTGAGAGATTAAATGAATAGAAGTAGGCCTTGAACCAATGATTTCTTAATTCTGTAGTAGGCCCTCTATTCATTTTGCCATATTACCTCCTCACAGAATAATCATATTTTTGTAATAGAGTCTTTCATTTGCAATTACTGTCCTTTTCCTCTCTCCCCCAGTTATTTTATTAAACACTCTATCTTTTAAACTAGAAATGACTACCCATAGAACATTTTTATCAATTCCATCTTTGACCTTTGAGACTGTTATGATCTAGACTGATATCCCAGATTGAATGGTATAGTGACAATTACAAATTGAATGCATTTTATTTTGCTTTGCTTTTCAATATTTTAGTTGGAGAATCCTTCAGTTACCAGAAAGTAGGTGGAGATGCCAATTTAAAAGTGACTAGGTTTTAGGTCCTCATGTAAAAGATAAAATTTGTGAATTTTGTAGTTGGGGGTCAAAGTTATGTTCCCTTTGAATGTTCATCAGGAGCCTACCTTAGGAGTATTAGCTTAAGGAGTGTTTCTTTGAAAGGTCAAAAAGGTTATGGTTAAGTAAGTAGATAAGATTCATTCTAAATTAGTCCCAAGGAGAAAAAAAGGAGAAAGGAAGACATAAGGAATGGAAAACATGGAAGATGAAAAAAGAGTCAGAGGAGAAAGGAGGGAAAAAATGAGAGTATAGATTATAATGCACCATTGCCTTCTCTTCCTGTGTGAATATTATAGACCACCCAGAGAAACTAACTCAATGTGTCCCTTCCTCTTTCATAGGTACCAGTTCAACACTTAGGCTGTCCATCTGGTATCTCTTGCTCTTGCCACACGATTAACAGTTTCTGATTAGACATTTCTTGAATACTCTCTCTTATTCTATTTCTTGTCCATAGGTCATAAAACCTGTGACCCTGGGCATGTCACTTAACCTATCACTTCCCTAGGTAATTCTAAGACTATGAGTTGCACAGTAGTTACTAATCTATATTGACAGAGGGAAACTCTTTACCAGGGAGTTCACTATAGTAAGGAAATCACAGATACAGGCCAAAAATAAACCAACAAACAATAAACAGAAGAAGAATCTTGTATTCTTTGTATCTTTCAGTCAGTGGTGTGGCTATAGAGATGGTATCTGTTATAATAAATTGTTTGCAGAAGTCTATCTTCCTTTTTCACATTTTTCATTAAAATTTCCCTCAGTGCTCTAGGGACTATGTTAAATGCCAAAACAATGCCAAGATTACCAGTTAAAAAGTGAAAAGCAGACCAATAGGTTATTTAGTAGCATATAAGTGAGACAAAAGTTATTTTAATGACTTCAATCGAAAAAAACCACTGAATTTGGTCAGTTCAATTTACATGTTGACACAGCCTGTTTATGAGAATGGTCAATAATTTTCTTTTGTTCCTTCTTTTTTTACAAGATTGTCTATAATGGGGCACAAATGTGTTCCTGTTAATGAGATAGTGTTTTGTATATGAGGATAATATTTCTCAAGGAACAAAGGACCAAGTTTCTAAGAGGTGGTCTCCTGTCTTAGGCTTAAACACACATACACACACATACTTATACAATGAACCCTGCAGGCGGCAGCACATTGTGCATGCAAACAGAGGGCCTCACTGGCCACTTGCCCCTCAGGCTGACGAAACAAGCAGCCAGTTGCATGCACAATTAATCAAATATGGGTGCAATTACTCTGTGGGCACAAAATTGCATGCACACTAAAAGGAGGAGGCCTGGTTGAATCTCTTTGAAAATCTGCCCCAAATGGTTCATACTAGTATATATTTTTAAATCACTCAAACTCCTTGCATTTTTGTATTTGGTAATAATGCTTTTTATTATTGTGAATTAGTAATGCTGCTTGAAATCATCATCTGAATAACATCTGTAGGGTTTGGGTTCCTTGACATTATAAATCACACCAACTCTTAACAGCACGTCAAAGAATAGAAATATAAATTCTACATGAAGAATCTGAACATTGGATAAAACAAAGCTGCAATTCCCAAAATAAAAGGCAACATGTGTGTTAGGAAATGACACTGTGAAGAATTGAAATGACCACTGTATTTTGGGACATGTGCTGGTATTTGTAATGATTACATTATATTTAGAACAAGTCTAGTTTCAACTGGTTCGATACATCATTTTAAGCAACTAGGAAAAAGTGTAAGAGAAATGCACCATTTAATCATTGAGAAATGTAAAATGGTAGAATATATACCATTGACTTTGATCATACAAAACTTATAAAGTTAAATTTAATTTCCACCGAGGAAAATGTGTTGCATTCTATAATGAAGGCACTATAAATTTACTTCCTTTCCCTGTTAAAAATCCTTTTTCATAAAATGTTTGCAAATATTTTTCTACTGTATAGCTATAATCAAAATTGCTTACATTAAGGGGAATTCCCATTCTATGATTATTCTTTAAATGTTCCTTTCTTTGTCCAAATCTTGCGTATTTATCTTCATTATTTAATCAAGCAACACATTTCAGTCTTAGGTTGTAAAATTAATTATATTGTATTTTGAAAGTCAGTTAGGAGCTAAGCATGAGAAAAACACCAATTATCCCAAAAGTGTGTTTAGCTGATGGTAAGTGAAATGACATTTTGGCAACTGAACCATTGGCAAAGTGAGGTAATGGATTCCAATCTGGCCAAATGACTTTGCAATGTAATACAAAAACAATGCTCCCCAGCTAATCTGAACTGGCCAACAGTTCCACCAGGGTTCTGGAATCAACTATGTGGTTAGCAGCAGGAAAAGCTTCCTCCTAATACCACTTACCATGACCTCCCCTCCCTTTGGCAAGAGGGAATTCTAGTGTCAGGGAAGCCTTTCTGACCTTAAAAGTAATAACATTCCCGGTAAACACTGCCCAACTCTTTCCCCCTCCTCCTCCCGCCCTTTTCCTCTTAGCTTTTGTGCTTTCTGGAACCTAAACTCTATCTCTCCAGGGCCTATTGCGGTGCTCTGCACACAGTGAGTACTTAATAAATGTTTGTTGAAATTATTTCTGTACGAGTGTCTCACTATTTAACACCATCTGCCATAAGATGGAATTCAGGATAAACCAGAGCTATCCCGAAGTCAGCCTACCCCATAAGGCATAGATGCTAAGACAACTCTGTGGGTATTTGACGTAAACCTACTATAACTTAAATACAGAGCAGGACCAGCTGGTGGTAGAGGAATTCCAATAATGTGACGTGGACTATCTTAGTTGAGGAGCTATTGCCTCGATTTAGTAGCCAAAGTGGAATTATACAGCTTTGTGATGGTCATAAATCACTATCTGATGAAAATATTTAGCTGGACACATCAATGTCTCTTACGCCTGTGTGTCTGAGCACACCTCACTGATCAGAGAATCACAAATCATACAGCACCCTGCATCGATCTCTCCCTCCCTTGACAGTACTGTAATTCATTATTTAGAACACATGTTGAGAATGGTGATCTGCACGTAGATGGCATGGTTCAATTTATAAACTGTGCATGCGAAATTGCAATTTGCCCTACCCATTTAAGAAACTCATTGTTTCAAGTTCAAGCTGCAGTGTGAAGTTCATGCCAAGGCTAGACTGGCTTCTGAACCTTTTCTCAGATCTTTTGGACGAGATAAGATGCATGAGGGGGTCAGGCGGGTAGGGCAGTAACCATGGATCTAACCCTTTGCACAATCTTCATGATTCCTCTTGATTTCCAAGGGAAATCCTTCTTTCCTGATATTTCTTCATTCTTTATTCTAGGCCAACAGGTGAGAAGGGGTGGTGTGGTGTGTGTGTGTGTGTGTGTGTGTGTGAGTGTGTGTGTGTGTGTGTAGGTGTGTGTGTAAACCCTTGTAGGTGGTTGGGGCCAGGAAAGCAATGAAGGTAGAGACAAACTGTACCAGCAAAGTGTTTCACTTAATATTGGCTACACCTCATGTGCATGCCTGACCCTGCAGCTTGAAACTGGTCCAACAATTTTCTTGCCTTTTATAGGAGAATTTCAGCTACAGTTTTCAATGTGTGACCATTTTTGGGTACATAAAAGTATATATCCTTTCATTGCTGGTTATTCACAAAGTTCCTGCAATTAAAAATAAGCCTTTTTTAAATGTCCACATAATCAGTAGAAGCTTTTTTGAACTGGTCTTGAATCCCAGAGAGATCTTTGGTGACTCAAAAATATCAAGAATGTATATTCAATTTAATTTTTAATTAAAGGATTTTAAAAATATGTACCATCAAAACGTGATAATGCTTATCTACAATGACAAGTATATGATTGCCTTTGTATTGTTTTAAAGTTATTAAAACCAAAAATAAAAACTTGAATGACAGTTCAACCTGAAGATTTCTAAAAGCAAGAACATTTGCTTGATTTATGTCCGTGGATAATTAAAATAATTATATGCTGATTTATATAAATGTTCTTTTTTAACAGGAATGATATACAGGGTAAGACTCACCTTTGGCATCCCCAGACTTACAAATCTTTAGTTCAGGCTGGGAAATGGTTGCAATGTAGTCAGATGACAGAGGCTGTAATCCACAGGTTTCTTCTGCGTGAATCTTCAAACCACAATCCTATGTGAAAATAATTGGAATTATAAGTCATTATAATCATCATAATCTGTTACAAAGTAGATAATTAATGTAGGCATGTAACCTTTATAGATAAAGCAAGTTACTACTTTTATTTAATTATTAATGATGACAATTTCTCCCCCTCCCCACCCTCTGCCCCCATTAGTATTGATTTAACAACTAAGGCAGTCAGATGGCTGATTTGGTTTGATTTACAGCAATCATTAGGGGTTAAATATTGATCATAATAATAAAGTAATTTTCATCTCCAAATGGATATTTCTTATGCTTGCTACCCTATTTATAACAAATGATATCTATAAATGTACGGGTACTACTTTTGCTGTAGGAGTTATACATATACTTTGTCTCATATTAAAAAAATTGTATGTACACATGTTGTTGTTTTCGTCCTTCATTTTCAAAGAAGACAAACGCCATCCCAGGTGATGTCTTGACTTATGCATGAATTGGATTTAAATGAGGCAGAGTTGCACAAAGTCACCAACCTCACTCATCCAGAGTTATTGAAATCCAGTGGCAAGACAAAAGTCAGAACAACTGGTGATGGCCCAACATGCAGTGGAAGACCTGGTGTCTTTGATTCCTAACCAAGCTCTAAGCATTCCACAGAGCCTGGATCAGTTGCCTTCATGGACATCGGAACAAACTGTTGTCATCTGTCCATTGTGCTAGGGAAAGTTTTCACATGCTTGGGGTAGACATTCCCCTAACTCATCGATGGGTTAGAGACTTGTCAGTTACCCTCAACCTATGCACATATTATACACATGCGTATGTATGTACAGATATTTCTCTGTATATGTGCATATGTACATGTATGTGTATCTGTACATGCACATACACACATATATAGACATACACATATCATTGTCAGTTAATGCAAGATGGGAGAGATTTAGGGAGGACATAATTTGGCAGATGAGTAGAATCAAACGCAAGTAATTTACCTTGAAGCATATTCTGCATACAACTGACAAAAGTAAGCCCAGTTATCACCAAGTTTAAAGATGAAGGCAAAATCCTATTACAAAGAAAGTTCTGTATAACACAGCTGTTTCCATATTCCAGCATATGGTTCACAGTAACTGTGCCATGTTGATCTGGTTACAATAAATTTTCTATGTTGAGTAATTGGTCACACCAAGTACTTTCTTTGAATCTCCATTCATATAAAAAGTCATTCTCTATAATGCATAATATTTGAATATGAGCTAACTTCACTACGGCTCTGTTATTCTGCCATCAGTAAACAATTTTATCATTTAACTGAATTCACTCTTTGCCCCTCCCCAACCGCTAATGAGATTTCCAAACCCAATACAAAAAGAAATTACAAGAAGAAAGTAAATTACAAGAAGAAAGAGGTGGAGGTGGCATATACACTTTCTACCTTTTTCTATTGGATTCCTGCTACACACAACTTTAGCATAGTTTCATCATTGATTTCTGCTAAGTGGTAAGGAAAGTTGCAATGATCTTTACTAGGATAAAATTCCACTTTAGCCAAGCAACTGGAAGAATCACAATTACAAAGAAATTTCTCCTACATTCAAGTATATGTATAAGTGTATGTATATGTATATGTATATGATCTATGATATATGATATATGTATATGCAAGAGGAAGCATGGCAGAGTAGATGGGGCCAGCCTTGTAGTCAGAATAATTGAGGATCAATTCTTGCTTCTGTCAATACCCTCATCCCCTCTTGCTTCTTGTTGGAGATCATTACAAAAAACACAAGTCTGACTGTGACATTCAAGAAGCCTCAGTGGCTACCTGTTGTCTCTAAGATCAAAACCTTTTCTTCTTGGCCTTTAAAGCCCTTTGCTATCTGGTCCTAACCTATGCTTCTGGGTTAATTACATATTGCACTCCCTTATATACTCTAAATACAAGCCAAATTGACTTATTTCCTGTTACTTGTAAACTGCATTCTATCTCGACTCCTTGCCTTTGCAAAATCTATTCTGTCAGGCCTGGAATGCTTTCCTTTCTCATTCCCCTTTAAAATGTGAGTGCTTGCCCCTATAATTAATTTGTATATGCTTCATATTTGCTCATTACTTATCTATGTTCATGTTGTTCCCCTCCCTCTCCAGAATGTAAGTTCCTCAAGGACAGGAAGTACTTAATTTTTGTCTTTGTATTTCCTGTGCTGAGCACAACATCCAGCACATAGTAGGTATCTCACAAATGCATGCTACATTGAATTGAACTGCATACTACCTATGAGACTGTGGACAAGTTACTTTAAACTCTAAATGCTCTCAAGCAACTCCTTAAAACTGTCAAGTTATAGGCCAGTTGTTACTTGTTATACTAACATCTATTGGAACAAGAAAATTCCACACTGGAATTTCCTCACACTCATGAAATCACAGTTCTGGACTTCACTCCATCCCAAAGACACATGCATAAAGTATGCATATATCTTGTATATAAGTACATATATGTACACACATATACACAATACCTATACCCATTTCTATCTCTACATTTCCCTATCTGTGAAGTGGCAAAAAAGTCCAAAACAGAAACATACTTTTGAAAAACATCTATTAGTAATGAAAATGAATTTCAGTTGAATTCCATCAGGAAACATTTATGATGCCTCTAGAAGATGCAAGGTATTGTTCAGTTGGGGATTCAAAGACAAGGACATCTTCTTCCTCGCCTCAATTCCAAATAGTTAATTCCCTCATGCTTAAAGCACAATGCTTAAATTTTTTTTGCCAACCTTATTAACATTAACACTAACAATAAATTTTTATTAACATCCCTTCTCCCCTCACCCCCAAGCCTATTTCCTGTTATGTGAGATCCCAACGCAATGACCAGCTCAGATGAGGAAACCATGGCACTCTGGCATCCTGAGCCATGCAGAAGCAGCCCACATCACATGTACAATAAATGCATTAATCAAATCTTTTTTATAGATGATGTTTATGTTTTAAAATTTTGGTTTTGATGTATTAGAAAGGCAAAAGAAAACACCAGAACTGGTTCTTTCTTGTTTGTCTTGTTATTTGAAGTCTTAACCAACTAATCTAAGGGGTTTGCATGGAAAGATGTTTCTTTCCATTTGGCCATGCACATATCCACAAATGGACCAGTTTCTAAATATGAGTCATAATCCAACTGACTATAAGAGTAATTTGGTGAAGTTAAAAGAAAAACAAATTATTCTTGTTCCATTTTTGCAAGTGTGTGTATTCAATGTTTTAAAATCATAGAAGCATAAGATCTTAGAACTAGAAAGGGCTTTAGATGTTCATCTAGTTAAATCCATATCCAGGCCATGAATCTTCTTTTTTTTCACTCTGTATTTGAATATTTGGGGCATTCAAAGCCCTGTACTTCCACTTCATTGATCTGATAGGGTAGCTCTAAATAGTTAGAAAGTTCCTATTCTTCATATTGACTTCCATTTGCTTCTTTGTGACTTTTCACATTGTTTTTCTTCTGACCTGTGGAGTAACTCGGTACGTTGGAGGTCTTTTCAATTATCATTCTATGTTTCTGTGATCCAAGGGGCATTCTATTTACATCAGAGCCCATCAAATGCGAAGACAGCAATTACATCCTTCATGGTTTTTAAAACATTTTTCTGAACATCCCTCAGTTCCTTTAGCCATTCCTCCTGAGACATAGTTTCCAAATTCTTTACTACCCTGGTTGCCCTCTTTTGGATATGCTATAGTTGATCAAAGTCTCTCCTAAGTAAATATGGTGCCCAGAATTTAACATAATACTTCAGATGTGGTCAGACAAATACAGAGTACAGTGGTTATGTTACCTCCTCTGATCTGCAAAGTGCATTTCTATTAATACATTAGGCTTTTTTTTTTGATAGATCATACTGTTGGCTCATATTATGTTTATAATCAATTAAAACCCTAGGTCTTTTTCACATGAATGGCTGTCAAGCCAACCAAGTCTCTACATTCTGGACTGGTACAACTGATTTTTTTGAGCTTTTAAACTTATTCCTTTTAAATTTCACTGTGTGGGTTTCAGCCCAGAATTTCAGCTTGAGATAATTTTGAATTAAGAGTTTGTAATCTAATGTATTAGCTAATTCTCTTACCTTTGTGTCATCTGCAAATTCAATAAGGATGACTTTTATGTATTCATCCAAATCACCGATAAAAATTTTGATGAGCACAGAGTCATAGTACTCTACTAGAGATGTCCCTCCAAGTTAATATCAATCCTTTAATCAACACTTTTAGGGCATGATTGTTTGGTTAGATTCACTTCACTCAACAGCCCATTTTAGTCTGCATTATTTGAAAGACCATTGGAAATCTTGCTGAAATTAAGATGGCTACCTATGACATTCCCTTTATCAATCTGGTACTCTTATCAAAAAAGGATATTAAATTAGTTTATGATAATATACTCATAGAGAATCCATGCTAGAGCCTTGCAGAACACCTATTTAGTTCATTCTAGATTTATTTCTGGGAATCATTGTCTAGCTTTTTCTTTTCTCTCGTTTTGGAATTGAATTTCTTTCCCTTTTAGAAATTGGGAGTAGATCTGTATGCTCAGATGAATTATGCCTTCAAGTGACTGAAAGAACATGCAGCTATGATTTTATTTATTTATTTTAGATTTTAGAATGACTTCTTATACCTTTGCTGTTTTCTCTCTCGAAAGATTATTAATGGTCATTCTAAGATCAGAAAACAGACTGATAATCATGTCAGAAACAAGACTATTTTGTTATACAAGCAAGAACAATTCAGCATCAAAATATATGCTGCTGAACAGCACTGTTGCAAAAGATGCCTTCTGCAGAAGAATCACTGCTTCCTGCCCTCTGCAGATGTGGAAGCTGGTTAGACGTGAAGACCTGTCCCACAAGCTCAGGAGGAACATCAGAGGCAGGCAAATTCCAGTACCCTCTATCATCTTGGGAGCTGTGGCCCCAAGGATATAGCTGTGCTATATCCTGCAGTAAATTCCA